TTGTCACGCCAAGGCTGCGTTTAGACTAATTCGAAAGTTCGAGAACAGTTCCAGCAAGCGCTCTAACTAAATGCTTTGCTGAACTGTTCCCGAAATTTCAGATCAGTATGAACGCAACCCAAGTGCTCTTCCGATATCTCCTATCTGACTAGCAGCACAGACTAAATACTCTAGCTGGTATAACACTCCAACTTTACCGCAAATTTCCGTTGCCGTTGTGAGGATAAACTATGCACTTTTTTTGAGGTACAGTATTCGTCGTAGAGCCTGTTCCTACAAGGTTTGTTCAGATTATCGCTCAGAATGCTAGCCAAAATGACATCGTTGCTCAGTTGTGGACGTTTGATGTTCTGCCGTATTGCAACACTAATTTCATCTGAGACGAAAGGAAGACAAAGTCCTATTTTGTCGTTTTGTCGAACAGTGTTACATAAAGAATATGGTCTGCACGAGCGTGGTGCCAAAGCAACATTGAACAATTTCTGGTATGCTGAGGTTTCATTGGAAAGGACAGAAACTGATAACGAATAATTTGTACACCATACCGATTCGGGAACTCGACGTAGGCCATCTCTTTTTTCTAGTTTCCTTCTACTCAAAGATACAAGCCATTTTGTCTGAGAACGTGCTTCTTTGTGTTAAAAGATTTCTATTCAGAAAATGAATGCAGACGCATGGCTATTTAGCTATGTTGAAGAAAAGCCTTTGTTAGTAAACGCACTGTCTCTTTTTTCCTAGCCTTCCTCTTCCTTTCAGAAAAGGAGTAAGTGATCGCATAAAATTAGCTGATGTTGCAGCTAGACAGAAGTTCATATATGTGAATACTCAGGAGAGCTGAAAAAAAAGAGACGGTCTACAACAAAAATGTTCCAAGCTTTCGAATGGTGCGCCAATTGATAAGACATAAAGCTTCCCTGCGTAAAAGTTTCTGTTTGATGACCTTTTAGGCCGAAATACTGACAAATTCTCCATATCATATCGTCGATTCCCCATATATAGCGGGCGGAGCTTTGCCGACGTTTGCCAACGTATGCGCGTGGCAGTTTTTGGCAGCTAGAGGTTACGAAAACCAATGCTCTAAAGTGGAGGTTCAACAAGTTTTTCAACGTGTTCAAATGTCTGCAGGGCCACGCCCCGCTATACGCATTGGAAACGCCTATTCCTCTCCACCACTTATTCTCCTTCTTTTCGTTCCCACTCCCGCTCGACACACTCGTAATTTCGATCACCTCGAGGCTACTTATCCCTTTACTTTTTATGTCGGGAATAGCCGAAACCCCCTTCATTTCGAGGAGACTCTGCTCCACCTATCACACATCTATGGCAGAGTGCAATCGCCCGTTGCGGGTAAGTGTTGGCCAGGATTGAATATGAATAGGGTAAATTTAGGGTAATATCTACTGCGTGACGAAGGCGGTTGCCCAAATAGACTGAAGGTTGTCGCGCACGCGGCGCGCGGGCAATTGTCAGCCACGGAGCGTGCACACGCTCGCTCAGCGGTCATCCACGGAGCGCGGCGGCACGACAGCCAGCCGCTGACCGAGCGTGCGCGCGCTACATGGCTGACAACTGCCCGCGCGCTGCGTGCGCGACAACCTTCAGTCTATCTGGGCAACCGCCTTCGTCACGCAGTAGATATTAAATCCCTCGACGTACGCTTCATTATCTGATTGCTCCGCATATTATCCTTTCACATGTAGGTTAATGAGTAAATGCTCGTATATCCGCTTCATGGTTACTGTTTTCTACTTTTGCTTAGTGCTTACCGCCATCATTATTCCCGGACATGAATGGATGAAAGTGAGCATTTTCGGCTGTTTTTCAACTACTATTGACATGTATGACCAAGCCATTTTATTGATTTCTGGCATTGCGAACAAACTTTTTGGTGCCAACTTTGTCGTGTAGTTTATTCGATCACCAATGGGCCGTATGGTCTGTGGTGGTCTTCAGTCAAGGGTTCCATCTAGATGTCTCCAAACATATGCCAAAATCCCATGTAGTTGTACCGTAGACTTGCATCATTTAGAAATGGGTCCAATGGTCGAACCGGCCGAAAAGGCAGCACACTTACGACCCACCGACCTACGAATGTGTTAAACAGGTGACTTCAGACTATTGGACCAAATTTCATGTTTTATGCATTCAGAATACAAATTTTTTTTGATGCACGTATTTCATGCGCGCGATTAAAACGGGGAAGATACCGAAGTTGCTACAAAACGCGCAACGAATTCATATGCACTTTGCAAGACATGGTGTAAGGTTATAATTAAATTTTCTCCTTTTTCACAAGAAGATTTCCCACAATTTGTATACATTAAGTGAAGCCAAGGCTCGTACTTTTAGAATAATTTGCTGAAGTTATGTCAGCTGGATTTGCTTGGGATATGCGATGGTAAATCTAACAACATTGCAAACTAGTGGCATTGAGAAGGTTCAAGAGGGAGCGAGCGCTTATGGTGACGATGTATATCTTGTGCAACAAAGGTGAGTTCAGCTGTTGCTTGAGATGTTTTCTATTATTCCAACAATACACCGCAACCCTTATGTCACCAAATCCGAAGAGTTACAATGAAACTTCGCTTAGAGTGGTTAGAAAAACTCAACCTACGAAATAGTAGCACTGGCATGATGATTACAAATATAGTAGTCAGTCTACAGAACAAAATTGAATAATCGTAAAAAGGTAGCGGTTTTTTCGCTGTTCGCCAGCTGTCCAAGACGCTTTACCACGTTACATGCATACAGGGTGTCCGTAAAGTATGTATACACTGTTTGATCGTTAATATCTCTTTTCCCAAGAAGTCTTTTGCCTTGCTTCAGGTACCGTTTTGTAGAACTGGATTCAACTTAGATTTACAGTATGGAGCGAATCACCGATCTCTCTTCATTACTGTAGGATTACGGTAGAAACTTGAAACATATGGTGTCAATGTCAAAAAAGCTGCCGTTTCAAAATTTTTCAAAAAATGTGAAAACTTGTGTAATAGGGTTTTTATGGACGCTGAGTTCAATATTCAACTATTCACAAGATTGCGAAGCTTTCTAAACGGTGTAATCGCACTTTTTAAAACCATTGAAAAAATGGCCGCTATCTCTTACCCGGTATAACTCTTCAACGAAGCATCATAATAAATTGGGAACTTTACAATTAGTATCAGCAACTTTGATTAGCCTAGTGTAAAGGTTTTCAGTCTGTTTTGTTCCCTTTCTGAGGCAAAATATAGTTTTTTATGGCTTAAAACCCTCTTTGAAGTTTTCACCGTAATCCTACAGTAATGAAGAGAGATGGGTGATTCGCTCCATACTGTAAATCTAAGTTGAAGCCAGCTCTACAAAACGGTACCTGAAGCAAGGCAATAGACTTGTTGGGAAGAAAGATATTAACGATCAAACAGTGTATACATACTTTACGGACACCCTGTATTACACACAGCTAAACCGAATTGAATTTTTCAAACGACGTTTTGGAACAAATATTTGGCTAGATACATAATCTTTTGGATGACGCCTTTCAGCTCACTATACAGCACGTGGTCATTGATTTTTTTCAGCTCTTACCTTGCGTTTGTGCACATTGACAAGCGATTTCTCTCACGCAGAGTCAATTATATTACTGGTATAAATCCGATATGCTAATGTATCACGATTTATATGATCGTGCTTAAACTATCACAACCGAAATCTTTACATATATAAAACTCAAAGTTTGTGTGTAAGTTGCTAAAGATGTTTGTGTTTTATAGAAATCTTTGTGAGTGGACCGATTGAGCTGAATTTTGCTCCCATATAAATAAGCCACGGCGCACAAGATAGGCTACTTTTCGCGGCAGTTCGTTGGGTCCTTCTATCGATTTATTGATTTGTTTACGTACATGCGGAAAAATGAAGGCCCTATCCCATCATTTCATAACTTGCTGTACAGTGAGCAGTGCGGCTCATTCTTTATCTTGGCAAAAGGAAATTGGTGGAGGAAATCCCAGGTATAGGTTTTTGCCTCAATTTAAGGGAAGTACAGTTTGTCCTGAAGGAAAGCGGTTTTGTTAGGTTAGGCGGGGACGTATAGATGCGTACTTGATTGAAGCTGAGCTATTGTCTCAAACTAAGATTTCTTCTAGCTACTTAGCTCACGTGGGTCGTTCCTTTATGGTTCGGACCATAGGATCAGATCCGACAGTCGGCTTACGGGTACCGACGATAATCATCTCATCAAATATTGCCAATAATAATCATTATGAATGTTGTCGTTCTTACCAGCCTATCAGTGAGGTTTTTGACACTGCATGATGAGTCGATCATCAGTCATCCTGTGTGTTCCACTTTTCCTACGCGGGCATCCCTATGATTGTGTTTTTCTTCTTTACGTATCCTGATATCAAAGGGAAATGGTTACCGATCATAAAAAGGTAGTAGTTACCGACCAATGTTATGAGTGACGGAAAAATGAGAGTTAAAGGCTGATTATTTCATTATGCATAAGCAACTATACCGGTAACTACCAGTTAAAATTAGTGATGCATGGAGAACAAGCTCTGCATCTACTGCGAAAACGCGCGACAATTCCACTTTTTTTGTTGAAAAGCAGAACCCTTTGCTTTTGTTTGTATTGTTTGATAGATAAGAAAAGTAAAGCAAAGGACTTCTTACTTTTCAAAAGAGACGTCGAAGATAGTGATGTTGTGGCATGGCTTTGGCAAAAAGGGGTCGAGCATCAATTACTAATCCAATAGCAAACTGACTCGATGTTTTTTCAAGAATAGTGTGTTTGTTGAAATTTCAAGTATTGCTCCAATTAGCTCCGTTGTCCCTTCCCGCCCTTCAAAAAGTGACGACCATAAGTAAATCGTTCAAGTTCAGCTTCTTTTGCTATTGATAAGTGCAGAAACTGATCCGAAACTGTTAAAACTTTCATAAAGCAAACGTAACGTATAAAGAGGTGCGTTCTCTTTTACTCAAGCGCAACTGCTAGATAAGGATTTTCTTTTCACAGCATCCCAATGCCGCCCAAGAGATCATACATTGGAAGCGTTGATCCCAGAGCGAAGCGAATGAGAGAGACGAGGGAAGCGGAAACCCCCGACCAGCGTGCAAGGCGCCTCGAAAATGAACGTGTGAGAATGTCTGAGGCACGGGCGTCCGAAACAACGGAAGAACATGAGGCGCGGCTTGAAGAAAATCGTCGGAGAAACGCAGAACTAAGGGCTGCCGAGACACCTGAGCAACGTCGGGCAAGACTTGAAGATATTCGCCTGCGCGTCGCGGAACTAACAGCTGCGGAAACACCTGAGCAGCATCAAGAAAGACTCGAACAGAACCGTATACGAATAGCGAACATAAGAGCCTCAGAGACCCCTGAGGATCGTCAGGGCAGAAATGAAGAAAATCGTCAACGAGTTGCTGCGTCTCGAGCCACAGAAACGCCGGAACAACGTCAGACAAGACTAGACGTTAATTCTTCCAGACAAAGACGTTCGCGTGCATTAGAAACTTCTGAACAATATCAATCGCGCTTACTTTCTGAACGACAACGACGTGTACAGGCTCGCCAGTCACACAGATGGGCAGATTTGAGACTAGCAGCCTTCAACTACGATCCTCATCGGGATTATTCTGTCCACCCGAAAGTGATTATTGGAATGATGGACAGGATCTGTAGATATTGCCAGGCCAAGAAGTTCGCAGCAGAATCCCCAGGGATGTGCTGCTCAAATGGCAAAGTTAAGTTGCCACCGCTGGAAAATCCTCCTGAACCACTGATGTCATACATGGAGGGGACTACATCGGACTCTAAACATTTCCTTCAAAACATTAGGAAATACAACTCCTGCTTCCAAATGACATCGTTTGGTTCAAGTGCAACGATTGTCGAGGATGGATTTATGCCCACCTTCAAAGTGCAGGGACAAATTTACCACAGAATCGGCTCGCTACTGCCTCCTCTTGATCGATCTCCGCAGTTTCTACAGCTTTACTTTGTGTCTGATGAGCAGCTACAGGCTAGCCGTAGGTGTGAATATGTACCTGGCACTAGAATTAACATTGTCTCCAATCTACAGAGCATGTTGCATCGACACAATGGCTTGGTACATGTCTTCAAGACTGCTCTAGAAAAAATGCCAACAGACGACTATAAGGTGGTCATAGAAGCAGATAAAAGGCCAACTAACGAGCATGAAAGGCGCTATAACGCTCCAAGTGTTAACGAAGTGGCAGTAGTTTTAGTGGGAAATGAATGCGATAGACGCGATATAATCATCCAGAAAAGAAGCGATGTCCTACAGCGCATATCTGAGACGCACAGATCTTATGATGCTCTCCAATACCCACTAATCTTCTGGGCCGGACAAGATGGGTATCATTTCAATCTGAAGCAAGTTGATCCTACAACAGACACGCCTGCAAACAAAAAGATTTCAGCTATGGATTACTATGCATACCAATTGATGATTAGATCTACGTCATTTAACCATATACTACGATGTCGACAGCTGTATCATCAGTATATCGTTGACATGTATGCAAAGATAGAAACGGAGCGTCTCCTGTTCATCCGACTAAACCAAAGAAAGCTGCGCGTTGAAGAGTATATTCACTTACGCGACGCCGTAGCCAGTGACGGAGACTTGGCTAACGTTGGACAACAGGTGATACTTCCAGCTACCTTTACGGGAAGTCCTAGACATATGCATGAATACGCACAGGACGCGATGTCTTACGTTCGTATGTATGGGAGACCAGATCTTTTTATCACCTTCACATGTAATCCTACGTGGGCTGAAATCACAGAGCACCTGTATCCAGGTCAAGCTCCTTCCGACAGAAATGATCTGACAGCAAGAGTTTTTAAGCAAAAATTGACCAAACTTATAGATGTAGTAACGAAAAGCCACATCTTTGGTGAAACTCGCTGTTGGATGTATTCCATCGAGTGGCAAAAAAGAGGGCTCCCACACTCTCACATTCTGGTGTGGTTGAGAGAGAAGATTCATCCAACGCAAGTAGATGCTGTCATATCTGCTGAACTTCCTAATCGAGACGAGGATCCGATTCTCTTTGACGTCGTTTCAAAGCACATGATTCACGGTCCGTGTGGCCCTCTGAATCCTATTTCTCCATGCATGAAGAATGGTAGGTGCACTAAAAACTATCCTCGACAGTTGATTCGAGAAACGCAAACAGGAGTTGATGGATACCCATTGTACAGGAGACGAGGCCCACAAGATGGAGGCCACGTAGCAAAAGTGCGGATGAGAATAGCCGATCAGTGCTTCGAGGTTGATATCGATAACAGGTGGATTGTACCATACTCGCCGCTCTTATCTAAAATGTTCAAAGCACACATCAATGTTGAATACTGCAACTCGGTTAAGTCAATCAAATACATCTGTAAGTATGTCAACAAAGGCGGTGATATGGCAGTGTTTCGCCTCGAAGGGAGTGCAGCAAGTGATGAGATTACGCAGTACCAAATGGGAAGGTACATCAGCAGCAACGAAGCGGTATGGCGTATACTGAATTTCAATATACACGATAGATATCCCGCTGTCATGCACCTAGCTGTCCACCTAGAAAATGGCCAAAGAGTTTACTTTACACCTGAAAACGTACAAGAAAGAATTGCTCACCCGCCTCATACAACACTAACCGCATTCTTTCTTTTGTGTCAAGAAAACTCATTCGCGAGAACTCTTTTGTATCCAGAAGTACCAAAGTATTTTACGTGGAATAAAGGAACAAAAAAATTTTGCGCAAGGAAACAAGGTACGCCAGTTCCCGGTCATGATGGAGTTCGCGCATCAGACGTTATAGGGCGGGTGTACACTGTGCATCCAAGGAATGCTGAATGCTACTATCTACGGCTACTACTCCACACTATTCGCGGTCCTACATCTTTTGCAGCACTCAAGACCATCGAAGGAGAACAATGCGAAACGTTTAGAGAAACCTGTCAGAGACTTGGATTGCTCGAAAACGACGAGCATTGGGATACGACACTGTCAGAAGCAGCACTCACATGTTATGCTGAGCAATTACGCTGTCTTTTTGCTATCATCATAACAGCATGCTTTCCATCAAATCCGCGAACTTTATGGGACAAATATAAAGAGCATCTTAGTGAGGACATACTTAGAGAAAGACGCAGAAATTCTTCATTGGACTTGCAGTTCTCTCCGGAGATTTTTAATCAAGCTTTGATTCTTATTGAAGACAAATGCATGTCGATTAGTGGACGTACCCTAGATCAACTAGGCTTAGAAAGCCCTGATCGCGGCGACAATGTCTTAGACGATGACGTCTTAAGGGAAAGAAATTATGACGCTGCGTATCTCGAAAGATTCTTAGAAAGCAACATACATCTGCTGACGGAAGATCAAAAGGTGGCGTACGAGACGTTGATGAATGCGGTCATTAGGGGTGCTGGAGGGATGTTTTTCCTTGACGCCCCCGGAGGAACGGGAAAGACATTTCTCATCAATTTGCTACTGGCAGACATCCGAAGACAAGGGGAAATCGCTGTTGCGGTAGCATCATCGGGAATTGCAGCTACGCTACTACAAGGAGGTCGAACGGCTCATTCTGCGCTCAAACTACCCTTGGACCTTACGTCAACGGAGTTTCCGATATGCAACATAAGCAAAGGCTCTGGGAAAGCTCAAGTACTGCGGTCATGTAAGCTCATCGTTTGGGATGAGTGCACAATGGCGCACAAGAAAGCGCTTGAAGCACTGAATCGCACTTTACAAGATATCAGGGAAAACGATCAACTTATGGGAGGACTGGTCTTGCTCTTAGCAGGAGACTTCCGACAGACTTTGCCTGTCATTCCCAGAGCTACAGCGGTAGATGAACTTAACGCTTGCCTCAAGTCCTCTGTGCTTTGGAGACACGTGCAAACTCTCACTCTGAACACGAACATGCGTGCGCATTTATCACGAGATATCAATGCAGAAAGGTTTGCGCAGCAGCTTCTGTCAATCGGCAATGGAAACTTTGCGACAATTCCTCATACAGACACGATAAGATTTCCAGCAAACTTTTGTAACTTAGTGTCGTCTCTTGATGAACTTATAGAAAAGGTTTTCCCCAATATTTGTGACAACTACACGGACCATAACTGGCTCTGTGAGCGTGCTATATTGGCGCCCAAGAACGATTGCGTGGCTACTGTAAACGTCCGTATACAAACCAATCTTCCTGGCTCCATCTTCACATATTTGTCCATCGATAGCATTTCTGACCAGGAACAAGCGGTGAACTATCCTGTAGAATTTTTGAATTCCCTCGAGCCTGCTGGTTTTCCAACGCATAAACTGCAGCTGAAAATCGGATCGCCCATAATGCTGATGCGCAATATTGACCCGCCAAGACTGTGCAATGGCACAAGACTGTGTGGAAAAAGTCTGATGCCACATGTTATCGAGGCGACGATATTGACTGGCACATTCAAGGGAGAACACGCGTGTATTCCGCGCATACCGTTATTTTCCACTAATCTACCCTTCGAGTTTAAACGACTACAATTTCCAGTGCGACTTGCATATGCAATGACTATAAATAAAGCGCAAGGACAGTCACTCAAAGTAGCAGGAATTGACCTAGAACATCCCTGTTTTTCGCACGGTCAACTTTACGTAGCCTGCTCAAGAGTCGGATCGCCCCAGAATCTGTACATCTACACAACAGAAGGAATGACCAAGAACATCGTATACCAGAGCGCTTTAAATTGAAGTGTAAGAAAAATAAAGGTAATATAGGTAACTCGGACTTTTACTTTTCAAAATTTGTTTTATTTTCAAGAAATGTGCAACAACATTGAAGAAAGAAAAAGAAGTCAGATTGCATTGCTAAATATAATCCTAATTCTCTATGCTGCATTATATGCCTTTCTTAATAATTTTCAAACAAAATAGCTTTAAAGTATAACTTTGTTCACTAATCTTTCTATGTGGAAATGAACTCATGATAGATTATGGTCTTGCATGTCACACATCTCTGCAATGATGGTGAACGATACTATCCCGGGCAGGGCCGGGTACATCAGCTAGTGCAAAATAATCGGCATGCAATGGATTCGCAACAGTTGTCTTGTTGGGACAATCGAAGGCGATGAAATCGCGTAATGTATGCCCGGCCCTTAACGATCTGGAGCCTCAAATCGATACATTAAAAAGCATATCTACTTTATACATGATGGTAAAGAAACTTTTTACCATAAACATGCACAAACTCAACCTACTAGTACTATCATATGCAGTATACTATCATTTCGATGTGCCAGACTTTTTTGATTGTTGAAGTGTGCAAAACGCTCAATGATGATAGATCCCCTGTTTGCAGTCACTTTCATTTTTATGCATACACCGATGAGCTGAAGCAGCACTATGAGCAAGCTAAGATACGATATTTTAATGCATCTGTCATAGAGAACCTAGCTGCATTAAAGTTTGACGCATCCTGTTTGTGTTACTCGTTTTGCCGAAAAGGTAATGAGACTGTATCCGTCTTGAATCACTATGCAAAGCATGAGTAACTGTAGCCATAAAATTTTGACGGAAGATGACCAGATGTAAAAAAGAGAGAAGATAGAAACTTTCAACTGATATATACTTTCCAGACCAGAAAGGTGCAACCACTACACCTATTCCTCGTGTTCTGCTCATCCAGTCAAATGACTGGCAACTAGATTTTGAATAATACTAACAATGACTGCATAGCTCTGTAATAAAGTTGAGCGCCAACCACTTTGCTCTCGAAAAATTAATTTTATGGTTAAAGCTTGCAAACCTGAACAAAGCAACCAGAAGCAAAACTCCGCAAGCTTCACCACTTTCTATGAATAGAGGGAACTCGTTCTTTGTAAACTTTGCCCCAGATTCTCCGTATTGCTAAGATGGGAGGCGATGATTACTTCGTTGTAAAGTTCGAGCATGTCACCTTCTCAATGAAAAGGGTTACGTTCTCTTTTATGAGTGAGTAGAAATTTCCTTCACAATCGTGGAACCTAAATACATGAACCCCAATTTGACTAGTACTTGCGACTGTGTCTTCTCACTACTTACTCAAAATCACTTCTTTTCCAACCAAGAGATCTTCTGAAGGTATAATGCAATTGTACAGAGGAAAATACTAATGTATTGAGGGCAATGGTCATTGCATACAAGTCATTCCAATGTCCTGAAGTGAAACTAACTGCTTGCACCAAGATTTTGCGACCTAAGAACCTACCCAGAGACCTAAAGAGGTCGGAAACGTAGAGTCGTTTCCTAAAAACAAACTTTTTACAACATCAATTTGGTCTTTGTTCAAGTAAGTATTTCGGATGACATATCAAAAGAAATGGTCAAGATGCTGAATGTGCACGGTGCATACGAAAACAAGCAAACAACTGCGTATTTTCTGAAGTTTGGAAGACCAAAATCACATCACGATTCTGCTGTATCAGGTCATAAATGCCCCTGCGAATTCGAACTTCACCAAGTCCTTTTCTCCTCAGCTTCCGCCTAGATCTTGTTTCCGAGAAAGCAAAACAAGTTCCACAAAAGGGCACTCGAATTTTCACAGCTGTGATCCACGCAAATTTTGAAGCTAAAAAGTAGAAAGATCCAACTTTCCGAAAATTCGATATTTTGAAATCTCGGCAAAAAAATCCTGTAAGCCTGCAACTTGCTCAAAAAATGCAGCGTTGATTATACACTTACATTCATCGTATGTTCTCTTATGATAGCGATCGAAAAAATTTTCATGTTAATGTACGTGCAAATCTGAGCTCTTCTCACACTAATAATTGTGTACTGAAAACCGTCAAAGTAAACGTAAGTTTATAGCCTCCAAGATTTTTCGAAAAATACCAACCAGATAAGAAAACCCAAATAAAAGAAGTTAAGTTTGATTACAAAGTTAGCTGCTTCTTAAGGCTAAAATATTCACGGCTGCACTACTAAGGGCGTAAGCACGTACATCCTCGCTGGGGTGGGGGGGGGGGAGGTTGAGAACGTTTATGTTCTGCACCTACAGCGCCAGGACAATCTCCACAAACTCCAACCTCCGCGCTCTTCTCAACGCTGCAGAAGCATATTAAGTACCACGTCATAGCTCTGCAGGAAACGAAGTCCAGGAAGAAGGACGTGCGAGAGATAATGAATGCTGGGACCCTCACCATTTGCGGTGAAAATGTTCCGTCACAAAAGTTGGAGGCGTTGGCTTCGTTGTCCACTCATCTATCGTCCATCTTATCGATTCGCATGAGATCACTATCGTCTCGACTAGCCATCCTACATTACGACATCCACGATGGAATACCATCAGCATTATCAACCGCTACTCTCCAGCATCGGCGGTTGACGAATTGGAACTGGGTGTTATCTACGAAGACATAAAAGAGGTCGTCCGCAATGAGAAGCCCTTTATGTTTAATGTGGGCAACTTCAACGCGAAAGTCGGGAAAAGCGAGTATAGGTTCGGTATTTCGAATATAGGCTTCCGCCCAACGGAACGACTCACGCGGAGATCGACCACGATCTCACAAAACGAAGGTGAAGCTTGCTCGTCTCAGTAGTTCCATCCTTCTGCAGTGGCTATTTTCACCACCTCCTTTGAGCGAAGATACGAATCAGTCGAGAGCTGGAAAAGAAAGTCCGTCACAGTGCCGCAAGAAAGAAGGAAACCGTTTTTGACGTTAATAGATTGGAAGAGCCTATATCAAGCTGTGGATTCATCGAGTAGGGCCAACTTACGACTACGACCGGCTGAAAGGATTGCCGAAAGTGTGCTCAGTGAATTTCAAGAATTTGGAACGCATTCTGAAGAGCAAAAGAATTGCTCGAGAAAGAAGATCCCTGAGGCAAGGTCCGACTTCAACCCATCTTGAGCGATGATAGCTGACGCCAGTGGCAGAACAGCTTTGCAGGACGACTTTAGAAAGTACAGGCAAGCCAAGATACCAGAAGCAACCTGAAGAAGACAAAGTTGCAAGAATTGCCGAAGGAACCTTTGCGAATATCACGTACCGCTGCCTATTGAATGAACACGGGACTCCGATTTCTTCCAGATAAAAGATGGAATCTATTGCGAAAAACTTTTACATCAACCTTTTCCGCTCATCAACACGCGTGCCGATGCCCATTGTTCCCACTGGAAAAGCACCACCGAGGACTCTACCTGGAGAAGCGCCATCGAGATCATGAAGACGTTCACGGCTCCAGGACCACATCAACTTGAGCCGGAGGAAAACATCTATACGATTCTCGCGTCGCGCTAACATCCTAACAAAAGAAAAGAATTCCGGGCCAATGGAGGACTGTAAGGACCGTCTTTCTGTCCAAAAAAGACGAACGGAAAGATTTTCAGCAAGTTGGTTTTCGCAAAGGATGGAGCACATTCAAACGGTTTTAAATGCTTTAGAAGTCTGCCGCGAACACCGACTGTTTCTCGTCAACTACGAAAAACCTTTAACAGCTTCAAAATGCTATTTTGTCAGCGCTACTCTATCAAGGAGTGGTCCCAGCTTACGTGAGGAAGTTAGCCTATGCTACATGTACAGCAACGATCCAGCTATTCCATTGCCCCCGACCATCCGTATTAGAAAGCGGGTCCGACAAGGTGACATTCGCCAAAGCTGTTTACCTCGGCCTTGCAGTGGGTGATGAGATCACTGGACTGGGAAGAGAGAGGCATACGAGTTTATGGGATTCCTGTCGAACCTTCGTTTTACGGACGACTCGTTTTCCTTTCGAGCGTTTTCACTAAAGCAGAGACGGTGCTAAATTAAGTAAACCAAGTAGGGAAGGATATGGGATTGCAAATAAATCGAAAGAAACCACTATAAAAAACATTCAATGCGAAAATGCTGAAATGGAACTAGAAGGCACTCCGATCATGGAGACGTCTTCTTATGTGTGTCTTCGAAGTTTGATGAACATGGAGAACGAATTGAGGGGAATACTTGATAGGAGAAAGAGAGGCAGTCTGCCGCCTTCTATCCTCTGAAGGAAGCCACCGGCCAACCGACGAATTCAGAGCTTCGAGCTCAACTGTTCACTTCTTTCTCCCAATGTCCTGCTCAGCGAAACTTGAGCTGACATTGTAGCCAGATCAAAAGCTCCAAAGACCCCCCCCCCACAGAGCGCTGGAGCGCAGTCTTTTTAGGATGACCTGACACAAACAACATTTTGTCGGACTTTGCAGTATGATTACGAGAAGAACGTCCTGCTTCATTCTTCGTGACCCAGCGGAATGCGTTGCGAAAGCCGCGATAAGCCGGTCACATCATGAGAAGAACAGAGCACAGATGGGCATTGAGAGCATCAAAGTAGATTTCTCGCGAAGCAAACGACAAAAACCACTAACGGGATGGATAGAAGATTTCGCGAAATTTATGGACTGAATAAAAAATCGGCTGGAACAAAATTCTCATTTGGAATCCATGGAGCAGCCAGCGATGACGGCCAAGATCGTGGATGCTGAAGGGAGAGAGAAACAACTGGAAACTTTTGTGCTCAGGCCCGCACGCCACTTGAAGACGGGTCATCTAAGTATTTAAGTGACTAGGCGTGGCGAGCGATAATTCTTTGACCCCTTTGAAAACGCGCGACCGCGAACTGGAAGGTTGCTCAAAGTACCCCTTCCCGCTTGTTTAGGTAAGATAAATAAAGTTTTAGCTTTGGGACAATTTGAAATAGAAGATAATGGCACCATCAGATATGTTGTGTTAAAAAGACTGCTGAAAAAGCTGTCAAGATATTCTAAACTTTGATACGGCGCCGCCAAGTTCATAAAGTCGAACCTTTTTGACATAGGCCGTATGTAGACAGAATGGTACTAAAATGAATCATGCTCTTCATTCTCAACCTTACTGTCTCATAATCAAGTTATTACGATAAAGCTTATCACAGAATGATGTGTCTCGCATTTGACAGCTGTTTTTCAGTGAATAAGTGAAGCCTGCCAAAGTTGAAAGCTTAAGGCTTCGTGGCCTCAATAGGTCATCCAACGTCGCAGCTTTTGATTGCAACCACATCTACTTTTCCAGTACCCAGTACTGGAAAGACGACCTGTCGCACAAACGCATGCAAAACAGAAAGAACATCAGGGCCCGGCATGAGGTTCTCAAATGACAAGCTGGAGGTCGTTTTCGGCAAAAAAGAAAGTATGAAAAATTACGAAAAACTTATGTGAACGGAACGAGTAATAAGCACTTTTTCCGAAAATTTTGCGAAATTGGTAAATGAAGATGTGAATTCAAATGGCTCGTTTGCAACGCGCAGATGACGATATGGTACGAAACTTGGTACTTACGTAGACACAAGCCTGTAGGAGTTAACTGTGGAGCATTGAAAATGTATGTGACTGAAGGTTGTGGCGAACTTTTTCCTGAAAATTTTCTGCTACCAGAAAAATGGGAAAATGGCTCGTTTGCAACGCAGAGATGACAGAATTGCGCGGGATTTGGTGTGTATATGCGCAGTAGGACTAAGTAACAAAGTTGAGATATTATGAAAAACTTATGAGAATGAAGAGCGTGCTTAACTTATTTCCAAATTAGGTTGTCATTTGACAACCTAATGACCACCTGAGGTTGCCAAAACTTTCAATTCACATAATTTTTCCAAAATTCTTACATAAATCTACTCTACACCTAAAGATTAGTATATATTGAATTTTTGGTTTCAAACCTCCTCCTCTCCCCATTGCTAAAGCCAAAAATAACTTCAACAGCCTCGTTTCCTAGGGAGGAAAGCGCGCTCTAATCGATATGCGCGAAAGCAGCCTCGCTGATTTCTACAATCAGCGTTGCTGCAATACTTTGTCATTGCTTTTTTTCCTTCTCCTTGTACATCCAATCTAGATTGCAAATTGTTTGCCTATCGATTTTAGATGATGTTGTTCGCAGTGTGTTGTCCACTGATCATTTGCTTTGACCATTTGCTCTTCAACTCGCTCATCTGTTTTCGACAGAGGCTGTTCTTCCTTATGATTGTTGCCATTCTTGATTTTGATAACTTACTTTGAAAAGGCTCTGGCTTGCGTTACTTTTTCATATGTATATTGCGCCCAGCTAGCTTTTGCCTATTCTTTCCTAGCCACATGTCATTTCTTAGATTCTCTTCCGTTTCACTTCGCTTCGTAGCTGTCGATTCCCATTAACTAGAACAACCATACATTCTTGATTTAAGTGGATTTGTGACCGTTGCAAACATCGATAACGCTGTTTAGAAATAGCTTTTTTCTTCTTTCTTCATTCGTGTACTAGTCGGCGCTGAACTTCCGCGTCCCGTTACACATTACGGCTTCATTTCATTTAAGATATTAGGTAATAGTGCGGATGGTAATACGTTTGCTACGTTTGCCTCTGGTGGCAAACGTAGCAAACGTCTGCCTCTATGTGGGTAGTACTTCGTTGGAAACACTATGCTTGTTTGCGTAGCCTTAGCCATACCTTTCGCGATTCTAGTCACGATGCGATTCGGCAATACCAGTTGTCCATAACTCATCATGCAGCTTTGTAGTGTAGACGACGAAATTTTTTTTAGTTTAACTTGTACAAACTACGCATTTGTGGTATGACAGTTCTTGCATGAAGACATCTGGCAAATTGCCATATCGCATGGCGACAGCCGCGTGAGGTATGGCTGTGTTCATACTGACTCCCGTGTTCCGAAACCGTTCTCGCACAGTTCCCCACTGTGCTGGAACTGTTCCGGAACTGTGCTGCATGCGGGGAGACGGTCAAGAGCAGGGTAAAGCGGAGGGTGCGGCACACGACCGGATACGACCCCCCCCCCCCTTGGGCCGGACCTCAGCATGACCCCCGCCCATTCCCTACCCCCACCCCCCCCCCTTCCCTCCACCCCATAAGCAACGCCCAGGTTTGGCTTCCCACGACTATGTGGCCTTCTGGACCAGCTGAGTTCGATGCTGCGTTTGGAAAGTCAAAAAAGTGCTTTTCTTGGCGTTTCCGGGTCTTGGAGATTGCTGGGGATCTTTTAAGCGCAGTACCGGACTCAGCTGGTCCAGGAGGCCATGTAGTCGTAGAAAGCCCGCAATCGCAATTTTCCCGAGCCACTGCCTTCAACGAGCTAAAGCCAAACGAGTAAGGTGCTTCAAGGCCCCCAAAAGATGAAAAAAAGCTTTGATGTGAAAACTATGACGACAATCAAAACCGACAAGTTAAAACAAAAGAGTTTTCCCAGATTATGGAAAGTGTACTAATAAAAACCACAAAAATAAAAGTATTAGAAAAAAGAGCATATCTTGAGGCATTCGTTCGTGTGGAAGGCAACGGTAAAGTCCTGTATTCCGCGATAATTGAGACAAGTCAAGAATCCTACAAAGCGCAACATTTTATTCGCAATTCACTAGAATTTGTCTAGAACACTATACTTAACAACTCAATTCAAAAAGCAGGTGCTAAATACCTCAATTCCGACATGGTTATGATGCTATCAATGGCCCGATAGAAGTCAGGCACGTCGAACAGTGTTAGCGTAGTGGTGAAGCGGATGAATGCATCTGAGATCTTCCAACTGAAAGTGTAGAGGATGTGAAATAGTGCGCAAGCAATCCCCTTCATATTCTTGACACTTACTCTATTCCAATACGAGAGATCAAGCGTTGTCAAATCCTTCAATGGGTCAAACACAGTAGCAGATCATTTGGAGATGTCTCCGCGTCTTCCGAGAATTTCTTTACCTAAATCACAGTTCTCAGCACCAATTCAATATGCAGGAAAGCAAGTAAAATAAATACCTGTGAATCGACCAAAGCATGCTATACCTTGGGTAGGGCAAGTGCAGTTACTCCCGGACATCGCGATGTAAATACTGGCGGCTCTCTCTCCTCTTCCTCCTCCAAAGCTTTTTCCTCGCCAGTCGTTCTTCAGATGCTCAACTAGTCGACCATTAGGTCCACTAGTCGAGCATCCGGAGAACGTGCATCTGACAAGGAGCAAAATCAAAGTGGCCACGACATTAGAACTACTGTAACACTAACACTTCAAAAACTGGCTGCTGTTGATTCGAGTGTGATGGCAATGATAGTCCTCCTCTGTTTTCACGCAATCCTAGCATTCTCTCTGCTTCCAAGTCTTCTTCACCCAAGACGAGTACGTTACGAGTGTCCATGCTTGCAACACCGACCTTCCTAAAAATAGGACTTTCATCATATAATCCACGTTGACAGACTGAAGGGGAAATTGTACGCTACAAAGGAAGCATGTAAATAAGGACCTGTTTGGAGGAGGACGGCTCAGTAGTTCCATAGATGTCATTTTGAGAGATCGCAGGCTGGGAAATGTCACATTTCGTTGGTCCAAAAGCGCGTTTGTTTCATCGGAAATGCCCTGGAAAATTGCTAACATAAGCGCACCATCCCTAAATGGCAGCAATGATCAAAGAGAATGAAACGAAAACAAACACGGAAGCAAGAACAACTCAAAAATGGTCGCATTAACAGAACCAAGCATTCAAATTATCCATTTTGCCGCGTCCCTGCAACTTACGTGCCGGAGCAGAGCCGGCGTCTTACCGTAACCCATATTTTTTTCGCCTTGTTTCGAAGTGAATGTAATGGAAAAGGTTCCATAACTTCTTTCGAAAGAAAGGATCTCGAATGAAATTCTTGCTTTTTTGCAGCTTTTGAGAGGGGTGCCGCACCCCATTAACTATATCATAAAGACATTTTTAGTAAACACTATTTTTATGAATTGATAGCCTAAACCTCGTAGATTTCGTAGGAGTGGAGCCTGATTCGTCTTCTTAGCTCTGAGTAATATTTAGGGAAAGCACAGCCATTGAAATTTGTAGGTCGGATTTGGCAATCTTCTGATTCTACAGCATGAAAGTTTCTTGAAGTGGGATTTTTCATGCAAGGAAGGGAGGGGTAGTGCTTTGTATTGAGTGCAAGAAGAGGTATCTTACTCACCTTTAAAATGAAGTTAATCATATTTGAAAGTACTGTATCATACAAGTTAGTTTACTACTCGGAGACCTCAGAGTTCGCTGAAACTTGGCGCATAGGGGTTATTCGACACGCTGATTACGAAACTGTACTTGATTAGCGGTACGTTAGGTTACGGTAGGCATACGGTATCTGCAAGTTTGTGTCATTGAACTTGAATTTTGCAGGACTTCAATAGCGTCGTCAAGTCAATTTAGTCGATACGACCCCCCCCCCCCTACCTACCCCCCCCCCTTTACGACTCCCCGGTGTGGCATGCCGCACCCCCCGCTTTACCCTGGTCAAGAGGCGCGATTTCTCCGGCTGTCACCAACTCAAGACTTTAGTTCAGTGCTACGCAAGTCTGTAAAAATTATCAAATGAAGTGCATTAGCTTAAAATCTATGTTTACCGTTTGCTGAATTTGGGGGCTTTTGCTGGGAAATGAACTGAAGTATTCACGAATTTGATTTACCTTCATTTTCACGGGATTTTGGTTTTCAAAATTGCTGTTTTGAATTAATTCCAAGGAGCAAGATTGAGGAACTTATGAAACTATCTAATATATCTCCTTGTGAATTTTGAAAACTTTTAGAATATTGTAAAACACTTATTATTCGCTTTTTGATGTCCATCTGGCAATAAATCGCGCCTCTTGACATACACCCCTGCATGCGCTGCAGTCGCCCCGCACGCGTTTCGAACGGCGGGATTTGGAGAATTTTGACTCAATTTGGCCTTATTCTTCTACCCGCTTCCCTTTTTGCCCAGCAAAACTTCGAACTCGAAGCGGGGTTGAAGAATGAGCGCTTTTCTGCTTTGCGTATTTGACAAAACGTGTGTTCTTGTGCTCGTCCATTTGCTCTTCGCTTTATTTTTACTCACACCTATTCCATTTGTTTCATGAAACCGCTGCGTAGTTTTCATAGCCATCTGCTATGAATTAGGGAGTGCGGGCAGTTTTGAAATTACATAAATTGGGACCCGTTCCTTTTTCTATATCGTTGCTTCTCCGTTCTTTCTTCTAAGCCGCTTCTCCCTGTGATAAGAAAACCTACGAACTTGAAGCGGGGTTAAGGATTGGACGCTGTTCTGCTCCATGTATCCGGGAAGATGGTCTCTCGTGCGCTTCCATTCTCTCTTCGTTATTTTTGTTCAAACCTACTTCTTGTGTTTTAGGAAGGCGCTGCGCTGCTCTCGCATCTATCTTGAAAGGGACATAGACGGGTCTCCAGAACACATGAAGTAGGCCTGAACAAAAATGGGAAAAATGGGAGAGAAGATAGACGACCGCACTTAGGTCCATCTTTCCGGATATATGAAGCCGAACAGCGTTCAATCCTCAACCCCGCTTCAAGTTCGAAGTTTGCTGAGCAAAAAGGGAAGCTGGGTAGAGGAATAAAGCCAAAATGAGAGAAATCTGGACGAAAAACCGTGTAAACGGTCAAAATTCTCCAAATCCCGCCGTTCAAAACGCGTGCGGGCGTGCGTGCAGCTCATGCAGCACAGTTCATGAACAGTTTCAACACAGTGCGAGAACTGTGCAGGAACAATTTCGAACATGAGAATCAGTATGAACCCAGCCTATGAGACCTAGGGCCTTGAGCATACTCCACGCGGTTCCGTCGCGTGAACATTTAGAATGCCCGAATGACGGCAATCGAAGTATTGGCAAATCCCATCGCGAGTGAAATCTCGTGAGGCATGCCAGACCTAAGGGAGCCTTCCGATCCGCCGATTGCCGCCTTTGCGTCCTTGTCGCTTTTGCGCCGAAGCGCGCTCGGTCAGTTTTATCCGTGGAGAACCTAAGCAGGACTTATTCGACTAAGCAAATGGCTACAAGGCTTTTTGATTCCTTTATTGGTATTCTGTCGTTCTGAAGTTTTTCTTTCAATTCATACTGAAGAATTTTCTTGCATATGTGCTTTGCTTGATGTGGTTATCGTTTCACGGAACAGCAAAACAAGCACATAGCCGCCCTGATTATCGCCACCGGCCAGCTTTGCTCCTACGACTGCCCTCTGATCTTCATTGATTACGTTTTCGTCATAAGCGAACTGTTCACAAGTTTAAAAAGTTATTCAGCTCTTAGAGTATTTACGATTCAGATCGATGGTGCAACTTTTGCTATGTTATCGGAGCTCGACCTGCGAGATCCTCCGTGTCAAATCAAGTGCTCAGGTCACATCAAAAGGCCTGCAAGAGCATTTGTCTGAAGAATGTAAACATGTCTTCTGTTGTGTTCGAATTTATGGTACTTTCCGCTCCTATTTCTAATCTCAATTTTTCTGCGCCAAATCTCTCCACGGGTGTCAGGAACAGCATTACAAGATGACTTACTATCATGTGTTGGGCTTTTTTAATGTTGATCTCAATGCAAATCTTTAAAATGTACTCGCTGTTCTATTGTTGCTGAAAAAATTTTTGGATAGCTTTTTCTGAGTAGCAATCTTGCTTTCTGCTGCTTTCTTTTCAAAGTGTTCACTGCACGAGCAGAGGGATCAGCTTTTGGGTCAAAGGGGTATTCGTAAAAAAATTTTGGGGTTAGGAATTCGTTTCGAAAACCCTTTTTGACAACCTCGTGCCGGGCCCTGAAGAACATGCGTGATACTGGCAGACCCCTAAGATCTACGGCATTATCTTAATTCTTCGGTTACTTGACTATGAAATTTTTTTGACTGATTCAAACTTCACAGTAAATTGAACTTGGTAAAAATTCAAGGGTTCTATCGAAAAGTACCTCAATTTGCCTGATGTTCACCTTGCCGCGATGGACATAATGAGTAGCGATTTGATAAGCTCTGTCATGAATATCATTGAATACAATAAAGATGCCTTATCTTGGCATGTTTCTTCGTATTGTTCGCTAGTGTGAACCTTCACTTACGTTGAATATCGTTCATCCCAAGCGGAGAACGTAGTAGAACGTAGGCGGTATAGTCGCGACTCTAAGGTAGTGACCAAGTTCCCCTGTAGGGGTGAATAATATTGCGTTCCAGGAGGTAGATGCGGCAACAGGCATGCCCATCAACGTAAATGGAACGAAAGTACTGACATAATTACCTTCTTAAAAGTGTAGTACAATTTTTCACTATTGAATTTCCCTCTTTGCCAAGTTTTCTTGGAGCCTGGCCAAATTTCCTCCGCAGTGCTCGCGCCTTTCATTATCTCCTGCGGACACAGCGGCTTGGCCTTTGGTTCCTCCTGCGCGTCCTCCCATAAGAAACTGCTGTATTTTTTTTCAAGGCTGGGAGTTAATAAGGAAAAGTGGCTCTACTTCAAGCACTCTGGGCACATCTCACATAAATAGTTCTATGAAAATACTTTCGATAGCCGAACCGTAATCTTTCACATTCTACAAGCTAGACATCAAAACAAGATTTCAGAAAGGCATTTTTTTGTATTCTTGCCTATTTTTAATTTTCGAATTCTATCCTCGAATTTTAGCAATGAAAGAACAGCAACATACACATAAACGCCTGCATTGAGACTATATGAGCAGTGCTCAATTGCACTTAATCTGATGCTAACAAATTTTTCGTGTAGAGTTCAACAGCCGTTTGATGTTCATGAGAAACATTCCGGAACTTTATTTTATCAAACATCTAGACAGCAAAACAGAAACAGTATGTTTGAGTTTATGGTATGCTCACTTTTAACGGCTTACTTCATAAAGCAAGTATATAGGTTGCCAAGACCATACTCAAAGAACATTCAAGCTGGTTTGCTGTTTTGAAGTTGGACAATATTTTGACTACATGCGGGAAACAATATAAAAACAGCTCATTTGCGCACAAATCAAAATGCGATATTTTGCCTCGCGTTACTTCTCTCTGATTATCGTAATACATAACAAAATCACTGTAAATATAGAATCAATGGGCAAAATATCGCCTAAACTCTAAAGTCGTACTTAATACATATATGTACTCTGCTTTTCTGTTATATTCTTGTTCATCATGTATGCTAAAGGAGATATCAGAGCAGGCATCTAAAGTTAGGAGATGGTAACAGTTGCAGCAGTTGCTTCTGCGAACATACCCTCGTCACGCGAGATTCGTCGTAGATTACATCCCTTCCAGCTCTATTGCGCTCAGACCTTTCTGACATAGAGTGATCCTCTCTGTTTGACGGCGGTGGCGATTCTTTGTCAGCTTTACTAGGCTTTTCTATAGCAGTCTCCATCTTGATTGCCTAACAGGAAAATGATGTTTGTTAGTGTTTTCTTATTTTGCAGGCAGAAACTTACCCTCTCGTCCTTTGCAGGTGTGAGAATTTTATCAGCGTTTGGTGGAGGACGAGTAATTACCCACTTGCGTCGACTTGTAGCAGCTTCTTTTCCCGGCGCTTTCAGAGAATACTGCAAGAAATCATACTTATTTTTCAAAGTTCGCTTTCATATGTCAGAAGACAGACTGGCTAACCGATCTACTCATGGTAACTCGTTCTGGTCCCACATTACTCTTGCCCGATCGATCGTACGTAGTGGTTCTGGTTGAATATTCTGACTGCTCCTGAAATTATTGCTATTGAGAGAAATTTTAAATTTTGCTTTCCGGATGAAACACACTCTAGTGATCGTTGTCCCTGGAGGCAAGTCAGCTACCTTAACTCATTAAGTATGTCTTCAAGAAAACACTATTCAAGATCTAATTTTACAAACCTCAAATGGCTTTTTGAGTTTCGTAACTAAGTCTCTTTCTTTAAGCTTCTTTGCTATAGCTCGTGCTTTCTCATAACGTTCGTGCAGGTGTAGCTGTAAACAGTTTTGCGCATAGACGGAAAAACAATAGCTCACATACCGGCAAAGTAGTAACCCATTTTGGTGCTCCTGGTGTATGATCAATATACCAGTCTAAGCTCTCATCATAGAATATGATAATAGACTGAGTGTTTGAGTTTAAGCAAAGTAGCTTAGTGGTCGCAGAACATTTACTGGCTTACCACGCATACAAGGGCAATGGCCAAGTGGAAGAACATTAGAAAAGCTGACGTATAAACGGTGTGATAGTGAGTGGGAATATCCAAAACAAGGCAATGTTGCATGAGAACACCCCTAAAAATTTTGTTTCTATTCAAACTTACAATGCTTTGCAATAACAATAAAAATGGCATGATACAAAAAAGTAACTGATTCAAGCTTACCCTTTATGGCATTGAAAAAATAAACCTTCTGATCTTGCAACTATGAGGATATTGGAGAAATTAACACCGACAGCAATTACGAAAAAAACTACATTGCAGTACCGGGAAGCTGTGAAAACGCTTGGCGCTTTTATTTTCATAGCTTTTTGAACTTACTGTAACTGGGAGCTGCAATATTGCAGACAGCAACAAAGTATAGTAGAAGCTGAAATGTATGACAATAGGTTGTAGCAGAGTGAAGTAGAACTGAGCAACCTCAAAAGTCATCTCAAAGAGGTAATAGTTCAGGTCTCCTCGAGTGTTGAAAAGTCGTTGGGCCAAAATCGCCATGATTGCACATCCCATGATGCATATGCACTAAATACATAAACTAAAAGGATGAGCTTTTGATATTGCACAAGCCGAAAAATAAATTTGTAAGTTTCAACAAATCAACAGTTTAAGATGACCAAGTAGCATGAATTCGCACTACAATCAAACACAACCGCCCTGGGAGTCGTTTTTTTTTGAATTCAAAGATATCGTATTGCGATGAGACAGAATCGAGGGATTACTACTCCGCATCAGCACCAACTTCTCACTTCATGATTTTTTTTGATACACTCTTTTCTTTCCAATGTCAAAAAGCACCAATTGCACACATGATCAACCTTCTCAGACACTGGAAGCGGGCGAGCCGCGGCCTTAAAAGACCTTTTCGGCCCGCCCGCGGCCTTATTTTGGGGGCGTGGCCAGATCGCGGCTGACCCGCGGCCCTAATTTGAAGGCGTGGTCTGAGTGCGGCCGACCCGCGGCTCTTGCTTTGCTTACCTGACCAGCGATATGCAAATTAACAAGTTAGTCATGATCTCGTAATGATCACTGACGAAGGTAGTTTCCATTCAACAAGAGCGTTGGTGCTCTTCGGTTCTTTCGCTTGGACATTCTTCATGGATTCTAATGCGCTTCCTGCAGCGCCGGGATATAGGTATTAATGGTGAGTCCATGAATAGTATGCAATGTAGCCAGGAGCTCGGCACTGTTATAGATAGAATCCCGCACGCATGGTATTATTATTATCTCCATTTAGTAGAAGTGAAGGACCAGTCCTTTGCTTCTAATATGGAGATACTAAGTTATAAATAAATATATATATATATAACCAAATATCAAATATAATATATACGATATGTAATATAATATCTATCATATATATAATATAATTTACTCTGTAATGTGATTCATGCACTTTTCGTATTTTTATTATATGTGGTCCATCCAGGTCAGAAGGGCGCAGGGCGTGCACGACGACAGCGATTCGGTATGTTGCGGATGATCGATACCGTAGTCTAAACAGGACAGGCCCGAGGGCATACGAATGTATGTAATTCCCATTTTGTCTGTTGGCAATGGATCAACAAAGGGCAAATATTCTTATTTGCCTGTTGTTAATAGTCAACTCTTTTTAGTAGCAATAGAAAGGCAGCTGAGAAGATCGCGCGGATTGATTGAAGAGACCAGATTTAGTGTACTGTCTTCTAATTTAACTTCTACGAAAGCTCGGGAAACAATGAAGAGGGAAGAAGGAAAGAGCTTTCGCAGATGAGACAAGAGCGAGCTCAATGGCGACAGTGCCTTCATCAGGCCTTACAGAAAGCTCTGTACGTGGTGAAACGAAGTTATTTTGATTATTAGTAACTTTGACTTCCAGAAGGGATGTCCGAGCATCGAAATACAAAGAGAATGACAATACGCGGAGCCCGAGTAATGTGAGCTGATACATAAACTTGGCTACTTCAGCGATTTCCAAATGTTTCAGAAACAGAAAAGGAAGATTGTGGCTGTGCCCGAGAAGGATATCGAATGAACAAGTAATGTGAGTTCGTATATATTATATTGGCTACTTCAGCGTTATCCAAATGTTTCAGAGGCAGAAAAGAAAAGCTTTGGTTGAGGCTGCCGAAGATAACATCGAGATGATAGATGACGAAACATATTTGCGCCTTTGAGAACAATGGGAGTAGAACAGCGCAATAAGGATATAATCTTTTTTGTAGATTGTTTGATTCTCTGTTTATGATTGTGACTATTTTTTATGTATATTCTGGACACAGAAGATAAATGAGTTGTCATGAATATGTGATTGTTCTGTTGTCTTCATGTGCTAAAAGAAGCAGCTAAAATTTCCATTTTTGGAAGTGCTAAAACCATTTAATAAGAGCCAATACAGCCGAGCCGCGGCCCTTTCCCGGCCGAGCCGCGGCCCACTACGGGCGAGCCGCGGCTCATTTACGGCCGAGCCGACTGTTCATTCACGGCCGGCCCGCGGGAGCTGCGATTGCCCGGCCGGAACTGGGCCGCGGCTCGCCCGCTCCCAGTGTCTGAGTTGTTTCAAAGCTCAAGAATATTATCTTCTCATCACTTACAAAGTGATTGTTTGCCAGAGAGCACGCCGCAAGTATAGATTAGTTCCTACCTAAAGCGGATGATGCAATTTGCGAAGCTGGCGCGGACTCAGTTGTCAAGCGCCTTTTATCGTAAAAGCTGTCCATACTCGCGTAATCTCGCTTTATGAACGACAATCCGTCAGAAAGTTCGATATTTTAAAAAAAGAACAATCTAGACTTTTGAAAAAAAGACTTGGATTAGTGAAACGATAAATTCATATGCAAAAAAGTTGGACATAAGCTTATACTTCATACATCTTCTTTGAAATCAGCACACTCACTAATAGGCATCGCAGCGCTGTAAATGACACCTAGCTGACCTATTCAAAAAAGACGCTCAAAATTTCTACTGCAATAGCTTCTCATGATAGCTAGCAGCTACGAGGGGCAGACTTTTGCGCGAATGTACCTATGCACAATCAATTACAAACATTACTACAAAAGTACTTCTGTTGTTACAACCAGCAGCTTACCTGCAGATACATCACTAATCCCCGCATAGAAGAATACGCGCTTTGTCTCCTTGTTGCTCCCATCAACATCGGCCTACATGTATGGTTTTGCGAAAAATTAGACGAATTTTGTAAACTCACTCTGTCATTCCGTAAGCTCTCATCATCTGTCTTACAGTTGCTCTTTCTCGGCGTGCTCTATCACTGGCAGCTGCTCTTGACAGAGCCTTGTCTGTAACGTGCTTAGGGCATTTGCGGCTGTACAAAGAGCATGTTTTTGATCTGCTCCTTTTCGATCGTCGCCTCCGCTTTCTCTTCGATCTTCTTCTGCTGCTTTGCATTCTTTCAGATTTTTTAGACCTGCCCCGCTGGCTATCCACGTCAAAGCGATCCGACTGAAAGGCAGATCTGCCGCTTCTGCGCGAAGAACGTGCTGTTCTTCTTGAGCGCGACCTGGTACTGCGTTGCCTTTCGGAGACATCTTCTGCTGATTGAACACTTCGGTTACTGTAACGAACTAAAAATAATCGTTGTTCTCTTTTTGTGACAAGATTAACACGTTGACGACCGCGCCATTTTGGAGGAAACTCCTGCTAACGCCCTTCGCGCATTTGGGCCTTGCTTACGCGCGTATGCACGAAAACATTATGTGGGAGTCTCTTCGATGCTAATTCATAAAACATGCTGACTTTGTCCAGAGATACATGTCTATTATATAGTCTTACCAAGACTCACACAAATTAGAGTTTTTGCACCGATTTTCCCTCCAATAAACCATGCAATGGCTATATCTGAGCAATCCCTCTCCGAGAAAAGCGTTGTAAAATCAGGTTTTTTTTTGCCTGATTCATCCTTGTTTGCTTTCAAAACAGCTATACAGGTTTTTGCCTTGTCGGAAAAACGCGATTGACATGTATTTACCAAATCAAAAACGGACTGATTATCCAATTTGCGGCCAAAACTTCTGAACAGCTGCCGCGATACCCTGTGTCCTGTAAGACAATCAGGCCACCAGTAGTATTACTGCATAAAAGTTACCTTAAAACTTGCCGTTTACACCTAAAAAACTAGCGTGCATATGCACGGATGCACGAAAATGCTGAACGGGAGTCAGGGCGTGCATATGTGCGTATACACAAGGTCGTCAACTTGTTAAAGATTGGAGCAAAGCTCGAGGAGTCGGTTAATGGTGCCTGCTCCAGAGAGCCCTTCCTTGGATGCGCGCTACTCATCTTGCTTCTGTTGTCGGCACTGACAATGTCGCATTCATTGTCGCCCTTGCGCTACGATATCGTGGTGCCCAGCAATTGAGTCAGCATTTAGTTGCTTTGTAAGCACATATCATTTCCTCTGTAGTTCGCTAATCAGTTTTGGTTTGCTTTCATCGCTTGTAGCAATAAAGATGTAGTAAAAACGCATGACTCTTTGTCTTTAAAAATGTGGCTTCAAGTAGGAATCAAGCCAAAGCATATCACAAGACAATGCTGTGGAGTAATCAGATTTTCAGAATTGCGCGAGAAGAAAGCTTCAGGTTTTATATCGGTCTTGCGCTGGTTAACATTCTGTGTTTTGGCCCACAAGTGCGATAGTGTGAGAATTTGCTCCCCCCCCCCCCCCTTTCACCGCTGAACCGGGAGGACCAAGGTATCCCCTCTCCACCAAAAGCCGAGAAAAAATCAACAGTGAGGTAATATAAAATAGATATATGTACGGGATTTGTTTGTGTATCGGAAAGGAGGAAGAAGATTTATAGGCATTCACGAACTCCCAGGAGGAAAAAAATAATAGCTTCTATAGCTGCACAGCAAGTCAGCGAGCAAAGTTCCATGGTACAACGTTCCCATATGGTTTTAGGGAATTAATTGTTTGCCTAGAGTCCGTTCATACAAGTACCTAGTGAAAGGTGTGCCTAGTGAATTCTGGACAATTACGTGTTTTCAGCATTGAAAAAAAATTCATAAATTTTGTAAATGAAATGCTGGTACATGAAAATGGTCACCATTGAAACCTCCTCGTCCTCTGCTTTCAGAAAATATATAACAGGTCTGAGATCCATTCGAAAAAGGCCTGGGTGAAGGGTGTGCCTAGTGATTTTTGAAGATTTTCGAGTTTTTAACATAATTCATAACTTTTGTAGATGAACATCTTGTACGCCAAATCAGTAACCATTAAAGCCGTCCTTCGCTTTTAGAAAATACTAGCTGCGGTTCCCGGTCCCGCCCGGGCCGAGAGTCCAGAATGGCCCAGCATAGGGTCTTCAAGATGTATACTTACCAAACCTCCACTTTCTTCAGTTCATATCTTCTGTTCTCTCCCGCTTCACCTCCATGTCAGTTTTAGCGCTCGTGTAGTATCCGTGGTAAATAGTCTTCTTTCTTGTCCGGCTCGCTTCATGAAACCGCATGCTCCTCACCGCAAAATGTAAATGATCTCTACCTCACTCCTTACTACTCACTTGGAAAAATGAATGGTATAGCCTTCATTTTCCTAGATTTTAGTAAACAAAATCAATAAAACGACAGAAGGACCCAGCGAATTGTCGAAAAAAGTAGCCTATCTTTTGCGCCGTGGCTTGTTTATAGGGAAACAAAATTCAGCCTCTTTGGTCCACATACAAAGGAGTCTATAAGCCACAAACATCCTAACAAACACGGTACAGTGTTTGAGTTTTATATATATATATATAGATATACTTCGCCTGGGGTCCGTTACAAAAAGTGCCGGGTGAAGGGTGGGTAAGACTTTTATAATGCTCATATAATGCTCTTTTGTAATGCTCAAGTAGACGTCTTTTTTACCGTTTTAAAAAAGACGTCTACTTGAGCACACCCATTATAAAAGTCTCATTCACCCTTCACCCGGCACTTTTTGTAACGGACCCCAGGCAATGGCGGAGGACGAGACGGTTTTAATGGTGACCATCTCGGCGTACAAGATGTTCATCTACAAAAGTTATAAATTATTTATGTTAAAAACTTTAAAATCTCCAAAAATCACTAGGCACACCCTTCACCCAGGCATTTGGACAAGACATGCTAGATATTTTTTGAAAGCGGAGAACAAGGCGGTTCCGATGTTGGCTACATCCTTGTACAAATTATTCATCTACAGAAGTTACGAATTTTTTAAAATTAAAAATTCGTAAATATCCAGAAATCACTACCCATATCCTTCACCAAGCACTTTTTTCAATAGACTCCAGGAAAACTATATATTCTTTAAAAGTGGAGGACAAGATGGTTTTAAAAACATTTCCCTTGCTGACGTTGCAGTTCATTTACAGAAATTATGAATTTCTTCTTCTAGAAATTCATAAATGCTAAATTGTCTACATCTTTTCCGAAACGGATGTTCTCGCACACACATCTATTATCAGGCACTTTCAAAAACAGACAAGATGGTTCCAATCCTACTTCAGTTTTCACATTTCACCCCCCTCCCCCTCGATGAAGTAAAACACCTTCCATCCTGGAGGGGCTGCGACCACTGTACCCCCTTCACCCTAGATAAGTCATTCTCACCCTATCGCTCCTATGTTTTGGCCTAGACTGATATCAGTAGCAGCACAGCTTTCCGCGAAAATTGCTTCCTCCCACTTGCAAGGCTCTAAGATGGTGGACACGCCGGAAACGTAAAATAAATAATTTGGCCCTTCATAGCCTTTGCTATAGCAATGAGAGAGCTTCAAAATCACTAACTTTCGATGTCTAAAGTAATTTAGCAGTGTCTCATTGAACCTGAGGTAGTGCGGGTTTTCACATAATCTGTTGGAGGGCCTTCTAATTGAGAAACTGCCCAACTCAGACTTGATTAGGGCTTTCTAACCCGACAGAAATGCACTTAGAGTGCTTGCAAAGGGCGACCAGGGCAATTTGGCCTACGGTGGCCTCGCTCGTTCATTTTTATTATTTCAATACGGTCTTTCGTATGACGCTCCGCGTTGTGTGGAAATGAAGGAGGGAGTTTGGTTTATCATCACAATCACTGCTGCTTTTTCATCTATTCGTGAATTAGGCTTTTTTAGCAACAAAGATCATCTCTCTCCCCCAAAGGGGAGAGAGAGATGATCTCCACAAAGGCCGGTCGCTTTAACGTGGCATGGAATGAATTGGGTGTCGAACTGCAATGCACTGCCAGAGTGTATACTCTGGCAGAGCCTATCAAGCTGTGAAGGAGTTCGACGTTTCCGGTTCGGCCGGATGCCTAGCTAAGAGCCGGCCAGACCAGATTCCCGCAGTTAGAAACGAAAAGTCCTTTTACAAATTTGTTATGGGCGACTCTAATGCAAAAATCGGGATGTCACTAGAAAAGGAATATAGGATCGGGAAGTTTGGATATGGGTTCCGGAACGAAAACGGCATGGCCTTCTCTTCGCCGCACGACTTGTCCATAAAAATTCCATCTTCATGAAATAAGAACATCGCCGGTGGACATGGGAATGGCCCAAGGAAACGATTCACGCGGAGATCGACTACATTCTCACCAACCGAAAGTGGAGCTTGCTCGATGTCTCAGTAGTTCCATCCTTCTGCAGAGGCTCCGATCAAGAACCTCCTTCGAGCGAAGATGCGATTCGGTCGAAAACCGGAAAAAAGGTCTGCCACAGAAAGGTCTGCGGCAAGAAGGAAGAATATCTTTTATGCCGGGAACAGGCTGGAGGAGCCCATATCAAGTTGTGACTGGCCCATCGAGGAGGACCCCCCGTACGACTACAACCGGCTTCTCAAAGGATTACGAACCGGAGAGTGCGCCCTCCGTGACTTCTGAGAAGAACTTGGAGCGCATTTCGAAGCACCAACGAAATGCTGGAAAGTAGATTTCTGGAGCAGGATCCGACAACCCATCTTGAGCGTGATAGCCGACGCCAGTTGCAGAACATCTTTGCAAGAGGATCTCAGGAAGTACAGGCAAGTAAGATACTAGAAGCAGCCGAAGGAAGGAAGCTCAGGAAATGCCGAAGGGACCTCTGTGAATATCACTTACCGCCGGTTGCACTATTAAACGAATAGGAATGGAGATAGCTGTTTACAATACTTTCTGGGATTAAGCATTGTGCGGTGGGTGGGAAGGCATACAGATAATAGAACCAGTGCGATTCTCTGCCAACCAGAGGTGGTGACGCTGGTCAATGAATAATTCGAAAGCCTTGCAAGTGCTCTATCGCAGACCACATCCTGTCGTGTAGAGCTGCATTTAAATCATGAAAGCGAATCAGAATTAGAATTTAAAAAATGGGTGACTTTAAAAGCGTAGAGGCAAAAGATGAGCCAAGTAAATGATAAGTACACGGACTGTTAATGACCGTCTAGCCCGTCATTCACCCTTCCCTTATAGTCTTTCCATGATGGAGCACGATTCTTTGGCAACTCGACACAATTTCATTGTATAACTTGCCGTCGGTAGCTATTATTGGAAGTGATTAACGGCAGTTATACCGATTTGCGTGCATAGAAATTTGTAACAACTATTTTTGTTTAACTTCCTTTCTACATCTCGAAGTAAATCTTCTTGTATCACCGTTACTTTCTAGAAAGAACTTCCATACCTTCGACTGGATATCCTAGGCCTTCTGCTTGACTCTACATCACTGTCGCTAACCATCTGAATATGACATTGCTGATAGGTATGGTCAAGCATTCACAACTGACCCTTCAACGTAACGATGATTGAAAATGACTGAAAATGAACACCACTTCTGCCTTCCACTCCATGATGTATTGACAGAGCCGCTATCAATATATCAATAGTAGCCTTATGGCAACCTCATCCCTGACAAGTAGCTATTGTGTGCGCTTGACAAGAAATAGTAGACATCATTCGTCTTTGGTTATTAAACACACAACGCTTATTAATGAGATTGAATAAATCTTGAGTGAATTATAAAATTAAAAATGAGTTTGCAACAGTGGTTTTCGAAAGACTTCACGGAAGGAACCATCGAATAAAAGACTTTAGAAAAATTACACTTAGTATACACTACTGACTCTGTGTCATCTTATGACGTGATCTTCCTTTCCTTCTCAAAGCGGTGATGCAATGAAAATTCATGGATTCTTGCGCACTGAATTCAAAATGGATGAAAGAGCTCTCAAAGGCAGCGTCCCACCAGATGGAGGGTACCTGGCTCTGGTATTAATGTAGTAGTAGACCCCCTAACTAAGCAATGACAGAAGTTTGCAGAACGAAAAGGGGTCTACGAAATCTACAAATTGCCCCTCAAGTGGCCCGAAGCTTACGTTAGGTAACGCCACCCACAAATCGATTTCGAACTGTAAGGTCAGAGCACACATAGCGCACACAGACAAGAGCGCAGGATCCTGCAACGACTTTGTATTACCTTGAATGCATCTCGCACTCACCCGAGCCTACCGTAAGATCCGGTCCACATTTTGTCTAAATTTCAGGCTTGGTAGACCCTCTTTTCCGCTCCAAACTTCAGTCATCGCTTATGTAGGGGGCCTACTTTGACATCGCCACAGAAACCCGGCACCCATCTTTTTGCCGGGACTCTGCCTTTAACTGTTCGTAGAAATAGCCACTTTGCCTTGCTTCATAATTCACTTTGAAAACCTCCCTCTTATATGTGGGAGCACGGGGATCACATTTAGCAGGGAAATTCCACCTCCTTTTGTCTACTTAACATTCTTTTTTTGGTATCATGGACGTTCCTTGCGGAGTCATGATGACGAATAAGCAATTCTAAGCGAGTTTTTTCAACCGATTTTCCTGTCCTCCTGTTCCATCGAGTATTGAAATGTCCTTCCGGTCATGTCAACCAAAGACCGAGTTGGGACCTCCAATCTGCACAAATGTGAATGCAAGATCTATTTTCGAAAATAAGATGGACAATCTTATCTCACAAAACTTTGAGAAATATTGGTTTTGGTGCAAAATTAATGAGCGTTTCGAAAATTCTTACTTTGCCGCACTATAACTTTCTGGAAAATCTACATTTTTCACAACCAGTGCTAATAAAGACATTGTCCGGACAAAAGTGAATTGCGATGTGCTTGCGGACCTATTTGCTATGCTTAATCCGAAAATTCACACTGGAAAGCACGAAAACGGCGAAAAAGGGCCCCAACGCAGAAGGGAGATCAGGGCCGGTAGTAATCTACCCTACTTGGTGGCATCATAGATGCCGGCAAGTTGGCACACATCGCGGAAAGATGCCAACTCCGCCGGCAGCTCGCGAAGAGATTGTAGGTTTCATTAATCTTATATAACCTTGGCACACAATCATTTCGTATATTAAATTTTGATGTGATGATGCAGACAGCCGCAAAACTGCTACCTCGCGTGCGATCGAACCTAAGTGTGTTAACTTCAAGTGCCATCACGTTAACCATTTGACCATTCGGTCATTCATTGCCGTTTGCACCAGCTATAGGAGGAACGCACTGATAAGTGGCCGCCTGTAAGAGGGATCGATACATTGGGTGAGAGACTTTGACCTGAAAGAACAGCTGATTGATATGAGCGAGAGAGGGGAGAAATCGGTGCAAACGAGATTTAGAAGGGAATGCCAATAAAGATGATGTTCTTTATAGTCTTAAGGCATTACTAGATTTTTTCTATGTAAGAAAATCGTCGTTCTAAAGAAGAAAACTCATATAATGAGAAAAATGACAGTTTTTTTGATGAGAAGTGAAATTTTTCGATTCCTTCGCCTAACTTAAATTGTGTGATAATGCCGCATTGCCCAAATTTACAGACGCCGTCGGCAAAGGTGCCACCACCTCGACGTGGTAGGGGCACGTCGAAATGCCGGCAGCTTCCTCTCTCAAAAGAGCACGCTATTTCTAATGCTCTCTGACCTGTTGGCAGCTGCCATCTCGCGGATTTCGACGAGCTGCCGGCAGGTTGCCGGCAACTAACATCGCGAAGTTGCCGGCAGCTCCTCCTGCGCTTTCAGATATTTTACTAAAGGAGGAGTTCTGGAGCCGCAGACTTTTATGGAGTTTCCTACAGAGTCCAGGCGGCATCTTTATCGAGAAAATTTTTTGGAATAAGGCCTGGGACGGCCTAAATTTGGGGTCTCACTTTCTGGCCACCTCACGGAAAAGGTGCCAGCGACCTGCCGACGAGACCTACCGCCAGGTCGAAGGGATTACTACCGGCCCAGGAAAAGGCGAAGTTTTCCCCACTGTGAAATTACGCTCCCAGCCTTCGGGGCAATATTCTCAGTAATTTCAAGTCACGCGTTTGCACTTGGCCGGTGGCGATGTCAGGGCGGCTAGTGGAATCGAGAAGATCGCTACGGAAGCTGGGAGTGTGATCTCACAGTGCGGAGACCCCGCCCACCTGCCAATTGCTCTCCTGCGTTGGAGCCCTTTTACGCCGTTTGCGCGCTTTCTAGTGAGGATTTTCGGATTTAGCGTAGCAAATAGGCCCGAACAAGCACAAAAAAAATCTCAAAATCGACTTTTCGCCAGACACTACCTTTAAGATTATAGGAAGAAGCAAACCCTTCGCAATATAGCGCACATATACCTCTACTAAACAAACGAGCAGGAGTATATGGTTTGCAAAGCAAAACAAGTTTTTCTTTGAATTTCTTTATGGGGAATCACTACTCCCTTTGAAGTCTGTTAGTACAGGGTGAGAAAAAAATACTGTCCCTCGAAATATATTATAGTTCAAAAAATCGGCCTAATTCACAGGTTTTTCTGGTAAATTTGAGATAATTCCCAAGATGTGGTTATATTCTAGCATTTTACAAAAATTGGCCTCAAAATTATACAAAGGGACCCGGCGGCGGATCCCTGTTCGCAGCCCATTTCATATCCAATCTTGCAACTCCCCATTACAAATGTGAAAAAGTGCGAAGATTTTTGAAAAATTTTATTGTTTGTCACACGAAATTGAGAAATCCTGTACTGGTTAAGGAATGTGGTAGTGGATACCGAAATATTTTGAAAGAGCCAGTCAGTATTTGCACTAGTAGAAAAGCTGTGAATTTTCCTAATGAGGAAGTGGCTGCGGCGCAGCAGAGTGCGTTCAGAAAACATGGCACAGAGATTAGGTATAATCGCTTATCGCTCCAAAATCATGCTGTAGACAAAGCTCGATGCTCTTTTCATTACTCCTGTCACTTTTTGTTGCAATCTGGAACTTCGAATCATAGTATGGATCCAATTCGTTAAGCTAGCGCAGTCCTGACTCGCCTCTTTTCGAGAATTTTTGCGATTTGCGTTATAATCTTCCTTATTTGGCCAATACAAGAATCACCAATCATAGTTCATCTACAATTGGTATAGAATATTGGAGAACAGATCATGCGCTACATACCAGCTTGATTTGAACCTTATATCAATGCTGGTGGTAAAGTTACGCTCCAAAATTGCGCTTGTATGCTATCGGCGCATCGTTAATGTTCTTGCGCGCTGTTATCACTCGTTCAAATGGACAGAAGCAAACAGTTTCAAATCAAACTTATCTTTATCTAATCTCAGAGATCTCGTCTACATATGGGAATCAAAAAACTACAGATTTGCTTCATGTTTGAGGTATTTCAGGAGACAAGTTGGAGGGACAGTACTTTTTTCGCACCCTATATAAGCCGCAAGTGAATAGTACATATAAATACGGGAAGGGCTTGGACTGAGAAAATTTGCGAAAGCAAGAAAATCAAAAAAGCAAAATTATCATCTTTTTCAGAAAATTTCCTTAGGCCTCAAAGTCCCAAATTATGAGGTTTTTTGTTTTCTCCGCAGTGTACAGCGAAACATTTTTGCAAAAAAAAACTGTCGAAAGGAGGCCGTACTCTTATGCTTAAAATGAGCGAAATGTGGTGAATGCTTTCTTCAATAGAAATTCATGGATCACAGCATGAAGACAACGACTATCCATGTTGAGGTGCCGATATCTCAGCTTAGGCGATTTCGGAAAACAAGATTAGGTGTGCGTGATGTAGACAATTTCTACCACACGCAGTGGCTAAATTTTCGGATGAATGCCATCATTCGCGCATAAATCTCGGCCACAGAAGTAAATGCAGTGAAATTCTGATTCTGAGTGTGGCTATGTGAAGTAGATTCTTAACAAATGAGGCTAGAAGTTGAAGCATAAAGAGAGCTTTCCAACATGTGCTGAATATATGTCAAGGAAGGAAGTTTCTTAATAAAAAAAATTGTCCTGAAACAGTACTCAACATGTGCTAAATATATGTCAAGGAAGGAAGTTTCTTAGTAAAAAAATTGTCCTGAAACAATACTTGGAGAGACGCTCATTACTTTTGCACCAACCTAATATTAGGCTGGAAACTAAGATTTGCAACTCCTTTTATAAATTTACTTTCTTCAAATGTGGTGCACTCAAAATGTGGCAATATGTAGAGCGTATTACGTGCTACAACAGCGCACAAACTGTTTAAATTTTGAATAAAATTCAGAAACATTCCTTGTGTGTTTTGAAAACCACTGAATTTCAAGAATTCATGAAGATATGAGCCAAGATGAAGCCATTAGCAGCAAACATACGCAATTGTTCGCATTAGTGTGTGAACCGTTGCTAGAGGTTATCTCATTTAGCTCAGTAAAAAAGAAATAATATTGAGGGGCAAGTCGACGTTTATCGCGCTCACAAACTCAGACAATTACTGCGAGCACCCGCGGCCCCTAACGGCGTCCTTCGGCGGTGCGCGGGCGTCAAATCCTTGCACTGACCATCCGCGGCCCTAGATTTATTTGCTTGGCGACCCGCGGCCCAATGTTATCATTACGGAAAGGCCGCGGGCTCAAATCTTTTATCGGAACACCCGCGACCCAAGAAAAACCACACGGGTGAGCCTCGGCCCTTACAGGACTCCCTGCATATGTAGTTTTCGGCAAGCCCCGGCCCTCTAGGCCACGACCCGACAGAACGACTCTGGCAAGCCCCGGGCCTTGCTGGATGCCGCAATTCTTACATGCTGTAAGAGGAAACGTTACTTGCGTGAGATACGGCGCGGTAATAGAGCTACCCTCCACATTAAATCGCCAGGACAAGCCAAGTTCTGGTTGTCGAAAGTGTCTTGGATGACGCAGCTGGAGCCCTTGGTTATGCTTATACAGTTGGAGCTTCAATAAGGAGGGATGTGAACGTCACTCTGTATTTTTGTGTAGACTGCGGCCTTTCTGCTAGACCGGAAATGGAAACGGTTTCTCAAAATTCCTCGTAATTTGAGTGCGTATCGGGCCACCCGCGGGTGCGAATCGCGTAATTATCGGGCGCTTATCGGGCCACCTGATCGTACTATTCGGACGCTTATCGGGTCGGGTGTAGGGCGTTAGGCGACAAACCCAATTTTTTGGTCCCCAAAGAACTGCCCGTGCAAAACGTCTCCTCCGCCAAAAACAGGGGGTGGGGGTCGGGGCCGATACATTACCCGACACCAATGAAAAAATGGTGCATAGTTTTGAGTTACGGGATTTACGTTGCTTGCGTTTTGCACGTTTTGTCGCCTAACGCTTGCCCTCCATCGGGTCACCCGTGGGCACTGTTGGGCGCTTATCGTGCACTTATCGGTGCGCTCTCGGGATGGGCGTGGCGTCGCCCGTGGGTGGTCGGCGGGTGCTCGCCATAATTGTCTGAGAAGTCAAACGAGTCAAAAGGGGTGAACGCAAGGCTATTAGATACCACCACCGTTATTGACTAAAGAGTCAGAAACTCAAACTTCACATAGCGGGGTTATTTGGCCTGTTAGATATAATCAACATATTCAGTCGTTAAATCAACTTTAAATTTCTCTCTCAGGTGAGACTTAAAACAGTAAATCTATAGCAATCTTAGAAAAAAACCCTTACAACGCAACTAGTATCTTTTTGTGATCAGCATGTCACATAACCGCTCTCCCCTCCCCAGTCTGTAAAATTTTCCAGTTTTTCCCCGCATACCATATACCTACCGTAACCCCCGCTAGATATCACAATTTGGCAAAACGGCAGCTGCGCCTGTAGCCTATATCAAAAACTACATAATGGCAAAATTTAAGTGCGCCATTTAATTAATAAAAAATTTATTGAAAAGTTGTAAAACTTAATTCTCAGCCTAATATTATCCTGATGATATGTCGCAGAATACAGTAAGCACACTCTGATTCGGAGATTTAAGTACTAGTAGAAGCAGTGCTTGTGACGATATCGCAGACGATACAATCAAACAGTATTTGTTTTGAACTCTCCCAAACATTCAAATGCTATTTGAAAGCTATAGGGTAGCCCTATTGTAAATATTTCAGGGGAGGCTTCGAAAAAGATACATTCTGGCAATTTTGTCCACTTCTGCACTTTTGTCCATTTCTACACGCATGCCGCATGCGAAACAGTCTTTATGATAGATTTTCCAAGAGAAAAAAGCATGCAAATTCACCCTTATCGACCATGTTTCGAATGGTATAAACCCAAGAAAACAAATTCATAGCTTTCTTGCTAGGACGGCTTCGTTTTCGTTTAACCTCAGGAATATACGCGCCAATGAATTTGACGCAAATTATAATTACTTTAGTAACGAGGGTTAGGGTGAAAAGCTTAGCTACATGCTAGCCAAAAGCTTTAAAAGCTGCTCTTTTTCGCAACCTTTAATTGCAACTTACGATTAGATAAGCAGATCGGACCATCGTTGCAAATTCTTATCACTTCAGGTAGCTATGTCTGTGACTGGGTATAAAAGCCGTTGCGATGACACAGTCTCACTTTGCCTTGATCGCGCTTTTTCACTACTGTTATCACTCTTTTTGTTGTAAGTGGCGCTTTTGTACCTAACCTAAATTACCGCCTATACAAGGTTTAGAATTACATATTTTTGTGATTCGCTAGTAACCAAAAACATGCATGAATTTTTCCCGCTCAAAAAGAGGCTAAATTGTGAAATTGTCAAAGCATGCAACCTTCCATGAATTTTGGAAATTTTTGCCTCCGGAACTACTTTTTTGGTTCTGAAATACATCTTTGTGACATCTTTTTGTGGCAATAGTGGTCGACAAGCAAAAATCCATGTTTAGTTTTAGCCCCCCCCCCCTTTTTAGAAATTTTGAAAGCTACTCGAGTAATATATGCAAGTGAGTTTTCTGTACTTGTAAATAACTGGAAAAAACTTTTGTTTTTTAATCATGTTAGCCTTGCAAATTTTTTGGGGTCATAGGCCCCATTTTGGAAAGCATCCCAATAAATTTTTCGCAGGTGTGATCAAAGCCACATACCTTTATCCGAAAAAAATTTTTTGTCCCTCTCCCCGAACGGAAATTCTGGGACCACCACTGGTTCTAACCGATTATAATGTTTCCGCATTTCAGAATGCATTTTGCTATTCTCCTTGCCCTGGTCGGGCTCGCAGCGGCTGCTGTACACGAGCATCAGCTCATCTGGAGAAAATCCAGAAAGGTAAGCTGTCAGCTTAGTCAAAAAGGGGATCTCAGTTTTGTTCCAGCTTCAAATGATCGAACGAGGAGAATATGCGGCATACTTGGAGTACCGTAACGCTCTTAGAGCTGCAAATCTTGATAGCACTGGCTCACAGCAGGTGAGCAGATTTCTTTCATTTGTTTTATTCCAAAGTTGAAACAATTTTCTTGGTTAGGTGTTCGACTACACAGATAACGAGTACATTGGCAATATTTCTATCGGTACTCCAGACCAATACTTCATGGTAATTCTCGATACTGGAACAGCCAATCTTTGGGTACCAGACATTACTTGCGAGTAAGTATGGGTATATTAGCCTACATTTCACCTAATGAGACTATAAAAAACGGGTTCCTGGCAAAAATGGTTCAATGCATTTTTTACAACACTTCTCTATTGAATTGTCTTTCTAGACGCAAATCTCGAATGTAGGGCTTCGCTGCGACTTCCCTTATTATCTCTCAACTATGAACGATTTTATACTGGTTTTATTATAAGTTGGCGCGAAATGCACTCTCATCATTTTTAAAAACTCAAAGGTTTTCAGTTTTTCAGGTTTACAACTTTAGATACATCTAAAAGAAGAAATCAATATCATCCAAAAAAAACTTTCTATCATGCAAACACCGCAGAGCTAAAAGATGTATAAGCTTATAACCTGCTCTTTCTATGTGAGCAAAAATTTTTGGATTGTGCTTTTCTATGAAAAGTTGTTTTGATCAAGCAGTACAAAACGGTTAATTTGATTTCTCTGGCACCTTTCTCAAAAGTATTCGATACAAACGCTCAATCAGCACAAAATTTCCTCGGATAGAAAGAGCTGGGATCATAGACCTTATAATACCAGCTGCTTCGGTTACAGGTTAATATTTTCAAGAATCCTGCAAAGAAAAATCGAGATTTGATTGATTTTCCTCTAGAGCTCTACACCTCTGCAATGTTGGCACGTAAGAAAACCTCTCGGATGGCATCGCGAAGCGCATGATTTCCTCTTTTAGATAAAGTTAGAGTTGTGCGAATCTTTTGTAAAAGTAAGAAAGTATAAATTTGAAAATGGCACGAACGCACTTTCACAACTCTAACTTTATCTAAAAGAGGAAATCATGCGCTTCACAACCTAAAATATCAAGATTATCTATCATGTGATTTGATTGACTGCGGAGATTGATCTGTTAGGGAAGTTACTTCTTATCAAGGCCAGCAAAATTTTGAACCTGATTGAAGAGCTTATCTCTTATTGTTCACATTCAAAGAATCATACTGCTCTGTTCTAGCACATGCGAGTATCAGCACCACAAATTCGACTCACTGAAATCCACCACCTTCGTAAGCAGCACGAAGAAATTTACTATCACTTACGGTGACTACTCACATGCTAAGGGCGTTCTTGGTACAGATACCGTGAAATTCGGTGGACCGAATGATAATCAGCTTGTTGTTCCAAAGACCACCTTTGGACTAGCTTCAGCTACCAAGGGCTTCGACAATGTAGGTCATTTGCACCAAGTTGTCAGGTTTTTATCTGGTTAAGTTGGACCTACGAAAGTGAGTCTCTTTAGGACCCAACTGACGGCATCCTTGGTCTTGCTTTTACCTCTCTTGCGGAAGACAAGGTTGTACCACCACTCATCAACGCCATCAATCAGAGTAAGACAATTTGATATTTGATCATACCTTTACCTTTATTGTTTATTTGAGACCTGCTTACCGAGCCACTGTTCACCGTATGGATGGAGCACCGTGGAAAGGTTGAGGGTTCCCCCGGTGGTCTTTTTACCTATGGAGCTGTTGATACCAAAAATTGTGGGCCAGTCATTGCTTACCAGCCCCTGTCATCTGCAACTTACTACCAGTTCAAGGTTAGAAATCAAAAGAAGCTGCCCGTAGTAGAATCCTAATTAATGGAATTTAGATGGCAGCAATCGGAATGGGATCATACACGCACACAAAGGTTTATGAAGTCATCTCTGACACCGGCACCTCTTTCATCGGAGGACCAAAGAGTGTGATCGGCGCTATCGCCGAAGTGGCTGGAGCCTGGGTACAAGATTTATAAAGAGCTTCTGAAGTCTAAAATGTGATAGGGAGGCTCACCAATTATACTGATAAAGGAAGCGGAAATGGAAGGAAAATTGCCTTTTTTTCGCTCTATTACATGAGTTTTAGTTAGTCATCTCAAAGGTTTAGATTAAAGCCCTGCATGAGTCGCTTTTATTGCTTTCTGAAAACGACCTGACTTGCGCAAAATTTTACAACTCCCCTTTGAGCGTCTTCGGAAACGTCGACCAAAAAAACCTAATCTAACTCGTGTTTTGCGGACCTACAAAAACGATCCCCTTTGAACTTTGCCCCAAAACAAAGTCCAGCTGCTTTCAAACAATCTGTGTGTGCCGGGCCCTGGTTTAGATAGGTTAAATGATCCATCTGTATCAAATATATCGACTGGATAAACTATATCTCTCCGATTTCAGTACGTCAAAGATGAAGATACTTACTACATTCATTGCACGTCCAAACCACCTACCCTTGACATCACCATCGGAAGCAACCAATACAGCATTGACCCCGTTAACTACATCGTTGGCGTATCATCTTATATATAAAGCTGAATGTCTGTTTGTATGTATGTCTGTCTGTCTGTATGTATGTCTGTGTGTACGTATGTTCCGAATAGAAAATTCCATTTCTGAACCGATCCGGACCAAACTTGGCACACATACACTTCGGGCCCCGGCGGGTGTCATAGGCTACTTTTCGTCATCGATCGATATCGATTTATCGATTTTTTTGCAAAGTTTGAGCTAGGGGGCTGGGAGTTGGCACAGGGGGGTAATCGAGCATGCTGATCACCCCCAAGGGGGGTGATCAGCATGCTCGATTACCCCCTGTGCAAAATCCCAGCCTCGCATGTCAAAATTTACAAAAAATCGATAAAATCAATAAAAGTAATCGATAAATCTGAAAACTAATATTGTATTCGGAATCCCCATGCTCACTCCCCCCCCCCTGTGCCAACTCCTAGCCCTGTAGGTGAACTCTGCAAAAAAATCGATAAAAATCGGCAAAATCGACATCGATCGATAACGAAAAGTGGACTGTGACACCCGCCAGGGCCCGAAGTGTATGTGTGCCAAGTTTGGTACGGATACGGCGGAGCCGGGTAAGCCAGCTAGTCAGATCATAAATATTCGTGTGTTTTCTAACTAGGGAAGGAGAAATCGGCCTTTCGCCCTAAGATATACACTAATCTGAAGAGCGTAAAACGCTAATTCCGCTGCTTTCTTTTCTGTAAGCGCCTCTAGACGTTGAATTATGAGTGTTCTTTCGAACGAGAAATGATAGCAAAGTCTAGATAAAAACAATTGCTATGGTCTTTTCAGCGCTTAAATGAAGAAGTGTTGAATGCGAGTATATCAGACAAAAGGTATATCATGAGAGTGCTCTGCCAATGCTGGACCATTTGCGCAATTGTGGACGAACGCGTCTAGTTACGCTTTTCAAGTTTTTAATCCAAAAAAACGCTCATAATTCAGCGTCTAGAGGCGCTTTGCAGATAACAAAGATAGTTTCGAAATTAGCGCTTGATGCTCTTCAGAATGTTTCTTATCTTCGGGTCCTCCCTTTTTGATATCAGCTTCACATATTTACCTTTACAGAACCAAGGTAATGTTAACTGCATAATGGCACTCTACACAATGGAAGCCGGAGGCTTCGGACCATCATGGACTCTTGGTGTTCCATTCATTCGTCAATATTGCAACATCTACGATATTGGACATCAGCGTATGGGATTTGCGGAATCATTGCAGAAGTAGATTGTTATACTTGAATTGTCAAGGATGGATGCCGTGATGCCTGTAGGCCATAGACAATGACTATTGAATGCTGATCTTGACCATGTACTTTGTACCGTGGCGGCTATAAATAAGGCCGCCCGGCCGTTGTTTTAATTATTGTTAATGTCTGCTATTTCTAGTCTTCTAATAAATTCTTCTATCACTCTCTCGATCCCCACCAGGGCATCCGCCCTCGCACTAACGACCCCGCTTAGTGCGTGACAGAATTACATTTTTATTTATAAATAGCAGGCTGCTAATGAGTCTAAGTGCCCGCGCTAGATGATGCTTGATTCTATATGTAGGAACAACACTCAGAGGTAAGCGACCTAACAAGCAAGGCCACAGATTGGCTAAACTGAAAAAGGTGGTATATTTAGGTGAACAGTGCAGAAAATTTCACAAACTGCAAAGAATGTGAGAGCTCAGAAAAATTGTAAGGACAAAGAATAATAGATTCGACACAAGGCTCGGCATGAGGTGGCTTTCCAAAAATGCAAAAAATAAACGAAGTGCTCCTTACTTTCCCGAAATTTCGAAATTTCACCGCCACAGCGGTCCTCCGGAACGGAAATTGTCGGAGCTTTTTCTCGACGTCATAATTGGAACAAGGACATGAGAAGGCCCCGAAACGACCAAAGCGTGGAAATCGAGAATCTGGGTGACGGTGCTTTTGATACCCTCTGCGGGCATGCGTCGGGCTTACTTAACTTCATAGTCGAAGAGTTTACTGTATGCGTGCGCGCCTACTCTGGGCCAGCCTTTTATTAATTCAATGCTTTTATCTCCCCAGATTATCTGGTACCAATTTACGGTCATGGAGGGTAGAGGGCTTGGTTGGCTCATTAGCGGGATTGAATTTGCCCCCAATCTGGTCATAGCGGCGCCTCATACCAGTACGCCACTCTTTGCGCAAAAGAGTTATAATTGCCATTATCCGAGCATTTACAATGGTTCTGATTTCAGCGGTCACCTCTTGAAATTGCAGCGTATTTGACATCCGATTAAAGTGGGCTGATAACTATAGATCATTATGAGGAACGGAACTTACATACCCCGAAAGGCTTGCCGCCGCGAGTTAGCGGAGTTCATGAGAGGTCATGAACTGGCATCAACGTTGATTTGTACCCAGTTTGTACTGCA